GTATTCTCGGGTATTCACTCAAGCCACAGATCTCCTAAAGACGAGCAGCAACTCCGAACTGCGTGCCGCGAGTACACAAATCCAGGTTGCTTGGATTTTGATTGGAGGCCTAATGCCTCTGGGGCCTAGCTTCGTGAAAATACACCTGTCGCAGTTGATGCTCCTGTGGAAAAATGCGCTTCCTAAGCACCTAGGCAAAGAAAATTTCGCCCAGCGTGGAAACTTGGAGATGAGCTTCCTTGCCCACGTCAGGGAATCTGCATTGGGATCGTTGTTAGCGTTCTTAGAATTCAATAGCAAATTGATCACGGCAGACGGCGCGAGGAGAATCGCTACTATGCTACAGAACACTGTTGGCTTTCTCGATGACTTGCCCCGACAGAAGTCCGTGGCGGATATCTCTCAGCGTCTTCATCCTTCTCTGCAATTGCATGATATTGCAACCATGGTTCGGCGGCGTGTATTGCAGTGCTTCTCCAAGCTGATCCATGTCCACCCTCTCAGCCATGGAGATGTAATCTCCCAGACCAGTCTTCTAAGTTTAGCTATATCGTCTTTTGCTGAGCCAGAGTACGCCCAGTCCGGTCCTCTTGAAAGCTCAATCGCGGCTTCTACAGCTCAGTTCGAGAGTTTGTGGGATCTAAGTGACAATTTTGCGTTTGGGTTAACTGGATCAGCGAGGGAATACGTTCGTGTGACGCTATCCGGAAAGCATGAGAATGACAATGGACCGGCTTGGTCAGCAGTGGAATCGGCAGACCAGGCTATTGACGATGCTGTAAGTATACCAGGTTTCCCTAAAGCTAGTCCAGGTAGAACTGACCTATCAAGTTAACCTTCCCGATTTGTCAAGGGAGTGAGCATGACTCTGCCCTTCTATATGCATCAAGACATGGCGGCCGTTTGCTAGCCGATCCGCATTCTACTGGCGTTGTCAATGCTGCTATTGAGCTCTTCTCCGTTGCTATTCCATTACACGCTCCCAAAGTACAAGAAAGTAGTGTAGAGCAAATTGCAACCTTCCTTTCTTCTTCAAGCTTGCAGCGCAACCCCGGCCGCAAAGCTGCCATGGTAGTTAACATCGCCGTGGCATTGCTTGAGGCCTTGAAAGTTGCCCTCAAAGATTCTAATTCAACGAGTGGAAAACTCAACCCTACGACTGACAAGATATTGCAAGAGCTGTTGCAGGTAAGGTTCTCCGAAACCTATGGGACGAGTCACTGAACTAACTGTCATAGAAATTTGTTACCGACGCTGACCCAGTCGTTCGAACCATTGGGGTGGAAGCTCTCGGAAGACTGTGTGAGAGCTCTGGAAACACAATAACTACCTCGCAGATTAATTGGCTTGTCGACACAATAGTAGACAACAGAGAGCCCAATGCTCGTGCTGGCTGTGCTGCTGCTTTGGGTTGCATTCATTCCCAGGTAGGTGGCATGGCAGCTGGTCTGCACCTCAAAACTATCGTGGGCGTCCTAATGTCATTGTGCAATGATCCTCACCCTGTCGTCCATTTCTGGGCGCTTGGAGGGCTGGAAAGAGTAGCTAACTCTGCTGGCTTGACATTTTCGCCATTTGTCTCGAGCTCGCTCGGTATGCTTGCTCAAGTATATTACGCAGATACCCATAACGAGGAGTCTGCCACTCTTGCAACCTCTAATATCGAAATGTCTTACCTTACCCCAATAGTCATTAGCCGTTGCGTGGATTCCTTGATCAACGTTTTGGGCCCTGATCTCCAGGACATTGCCAAAACGCGCAACCTTATACTCACTCTTCTCCGGCAGTTTCAGTTGGAGGATAACCCGGCTTTGGTTACTGAAAGCTCTAAATGCCTAGACCATTTGTCACTTTATGCTCCCAATTACGTGGACTTTTCAGGGTATGTGAAACGTCTGCAGACTGAACTCGCTGCCGATAACCCATTAATGAGGGATGTGGCCATTGGAGGACTGAGTAACCTCATGAAGCGGGACTCAGTGTCGGTTCTGAAAGCTGCGCCGGCCCTAGAGGAGGACATCTGGATTGCCTTCGACGATACTCCAGATAATGCGAATCTTAAGAGCATGATCCAAGACTGGCTGCAGCAGACTGCTCTTGAGGAGACTGAGCTGTGGGTACAGCGCTTCCATAACACATTGACAAAGACGCGTGGTAAGGTGGAAGAGCCACCTCCCACGCCAGCTGTCAAATCCGCTGTGAATGATATACCAGACGATGAAGTTGCTGGCTTTGCATCCGCTATTGCCGGGGCTGGGCAGTCAGATAATATAAATGAGGCTGTCCCTGGACAAGAACTACTGAAATGGCAAACTCGCAACTTCGTTCTCAGTTGTCTTAGCGAGCTTCTGGCAACGGTAGAGCAAGAGATCTTGCCCGATCAGACAATCCCTGCTGAGCTGGCCCTGCAACAGAGAGTTGGAGATATTGTGAGGATGGCATTCTCGGCCTCTACTGCCAACGTGATAGAACTGAGAGTGTGGGGTCTTAAAATCCTCGATCAAGTCCTTAGGGTAAGTTTGTATGTCATTCGACGCTTGTCATCTAACTGACACCCTTTCCAGATGTTTGGCAAGACTCCAGATCCAGACTTCGCAGAAGCATCTCTTCTGGAGCAATACCAAGCGCAGATCGGTTCTGCACTTACGCCAGCATTTGCAGCGGATTCTTCTCCGGAGCTGGCGTCGGGGGCTATCAATGTCTCGGCTACCTTCATTGCAACAGGAATTGTCACAAACGTAGACCGGATGGGCAGGATATTGAAGTTGCTAGTGCTGGGTCTTGAGAACTTCTCAAGTGAGTCGCGAGATTTATGGTTATTGATATAAATGCTAACTAATATTGTACAGAAAATCCGGACACTACTGAGATTGGAGACTTGAAGGGTCTCAACTCAAACGCCAGAGTTATGGTAAAGATGGCACTGTATTCTGCTTGGGCTCGGCTTCAAATAGCAAGTATTGAGCAAGATTACTTGAATGAGGTAGTACAGTCTCATCTCGCCAAACTTACGCCGCTGTGGCTTTCTTCCCTGCAGGAATATGCTCGCCTACGGTTCGAACCAGACATATCTGGTAGCTTAGGAACAGGGCCACTGAGCAACGATTTGGACGAGGTATATGCTGCATTGAATCGAGAGACTCTTCTCAAGGTCAGCGACTTACGCCTAAATCATAAGTGTCTTATTGTACAGAAGCTGACCTTATTTATAGTTCTATCAAGACACTTGGCTGAGCCTTGTTGATGCCATCGCGGGCTTAGTAGAGAAAGATATCGATTTCGTCTTCGACGCGTTAGACGGAAAAACGAAGCCAGATGAGGAACCCGTTGAGAAGTCCCAGGACACCGAGGATGCAACAAACGAAGAGACAAAGAGAAAAGGAAACGACATTAATTACCGAGATGAACCAGTTGCATTCTTCTTCGTTCTATTTGGCTTGGCATTCGAAGCACTTGTTGACCAGTCTACTACGGCGTCGCAGAGACTAGAGATTCTCCAGGCTCTCAAGCGAATTCTCCGGCCAATAATCTCCGGAAATGCCATCTATCAGGAAGCTATTTTCTCGGAGACAATGGATTCCCTTGACCGCCTCGCGTTGACTGAAGGGACACCCATCCAGAATGTCATCGTTGAAATTGCGCGGAACTTGTCCCTAGATCATCCCTCTGCAAAGGGAAGCGAGGGACGAAGCGACCATCTGTCTGATGATATTGAGCAGCTCTTCGAGCTGACCAGAAGTATTATTCTTGTTCTTGCCGGGCTACTGCCAAACCTTCGTGAATCGGTGCCACTCGCGCGGTTCAACGTGGGCTCAGATGATGCTTTGTCACTCATCCGCCTCGCCCTGTCATCCCTCGTGAACGTCGCGTCCATTTTCCCCTCCATCATTCGCAATGACCTTAATGCATGCATCTTACACATCTTCACCACCATTCTTGCCACTGGGTTGTGCCAATCGGAAGTCGTTCCTCAAGCACTTCCAATTTTCAGGCATTTTGTTCAAAGTATAAGCCATCCAGACGATGTTGGACCAGGAAAGTCTGGTAACCTTCCCGTGGTCGCCCGCCAATTGCGCGGCTGCCTCACACGTTTCCTCACCACTCTCACAATCGCCCAGCGTCGCGAGTCCGAGTCCTCGTTGCCTTGCGCCAAGAACACGCTTTTAGCGATCACCATCTTATTAACCACAGGAGGCCATGTCCTCCCCCCTAATGACCCCACTATTGTCCGCATTCTCAACGAGTTCCTAGACTGCCTTCAGGACGTCGGTCTCGCAAACGTTGCGGCAGGCTGCCTCCGATCAATCCTTCTGGCTTCGACAGGATCTCTCACAGACGAAGTAATTGCCAGATACTTGTTCCCTCGCCTGATTAGCTTCCTCGTCGGCTGCCCTATGGAAAATGGCGACGTCCCCAACGATCCAGAGAATTCAAGAACCGTCATCGCACGCACAATTGTTTCCTACGTTAGCAACGCCAGTGATATACCCACTGCCTTTTCCATCGTCATGTCCGCCCTCCTTGCACGTGGAAAGAGAGAAGGACAAGCCGTTTACCAAGAGACAGCTGCTCACCTTCTGGAACTCGCCAAGACGGACCAGTCAGTATTCCGGGCTCTTGTGGCTACAATGATTCCGGAACAGAAAGCGCTTCTCGAGGACATCCTTCGAAGTGTGAATGTTGACTCTGGCACCCATAAGAGTGCCAGAGACAGTGTGCAAGCCCAGCAGAATGAGCCTAGTATTGCATTGAGATTCGATTTCTAGAACTTTAAAGACCGTGCTGTGTGTTTCTCTGGGCATTTTCTTTCTGCCTTCATCCCCCCACACTATCTTCATGTTGCTGATATGTCGACTCCTAACGAATCCCTGTTTTTATGCATGTATGTTCAATCAATAATAGACGAATTCCATAAACGATTTTCTTCCTTGATTTCCCTTGATTCGGACGTATTAAGCAGGTTGCCAATGATCGGTTTTAGATTGGAAAAGCCTTGGATATATGTACATTTAGAGGGGGCAGGTGATCTGTCATGAAAGAATTGAAATTCGATGGAAGTCTATATATCTATATTCCAACTGGAAGCTTGACCCTGGGGTATCGAGGATAAATGTAGAAAAGGGGCGAGTCCAGTGCGTGGGAGTAGTGAACATTTAATCGAGCATAAATAATATGTTTTACATGCAGTGACAAAGGAAATGTAAAAATTACCAACAAGGTCATAGAGCAGCGTTCTTAACCCAGAGATTCGGTAAGATGTACCTCTGGAACTGGCACAACAGAACCAATAATGGGTTCCTTCGCTGCCTGTTTCTCTGTAGCTTTTTTAGACGATGCCTTTTTCTTCTTCTCAGCGGCGTCCTGTGCCTTGCGTGACGAATAGAATTTGAGAAACGAGATAATCATGACTGTGTCCGGTCAGCATTTAGAACATCTGACGAGAAAATAAGGGACATACAAGCGCTTGCGGCAATAGCGAATGCGGCCCTTCTCGTCAGAATCCAACGTAGACCCTCAATCTCACTTTTACCGTCGCTGTTCAGCGAGACCGTGATCTTATAGTTAAGCTCCTGAACCGAGGTATCTATGCTTCGCTGTTGCTCTCGCGTCGTCATCTTATGGTCGTTGAACATCGCCTTAATATCGTCTTTCAAACCGGCAAGCTCTTGGTTCGTTCGCTGGGAGAGAATATCGGCTTCGTGTTGAAGCTGTGTCCGCGACGCACGCTGTCGCTGCATTTCGGAGTTTCGAGCTGTCTGCAAAGATGACTGGAGCTCCGAGCAAGCCGCCTTGAACAGATATGATTCGTTCTCAACATCGGACTTAGAAGTCAAGTTCTGCCTTGCCATGTCGAGGTTGTTATGCAATATACTCCGAACTGCTTTCATGATTGTGACAGACTGGTCTTCCGTAAAACCACCTTTGGAGAGGTCACGGACTAGGGAGTAGGTATCGAAATGATGGACATAGGGGGGCGGTGTCAAATGTGGTTTACCATCGGGAGTAGCCGCACCGGACGGCATCAAATAGGATGAGGGAGAAGGCATATGAAGGACACCATCGAGAGGGTCTGGTCTATTTGGAGGCTCGTGTCGCTCTTCGTGTCGCTCTTCGGCGTTCTCGATTGGAGAGGCGGAGAGGGCCTCGACATCGTTGTTTTCGCCTGCAGATTCCTCGTGCGGAGTGGGCTCTTCCGATTGTTTCTCGTCACAAGACTCTGAGGTCTCTTGGTCCTTCGCTTGGGAAGACGCTTCTGGAGTGTTACTCTTGGTATCCTGAGGGGGCAGTTTTTCGGGAGGAGCGGTGTTCGGCGGGGTGTTGGTATCTTTCGGCGCTGGCTGTGGCACTTGTGCATGACTCAATTCATCTTTAGGTCGTGATGGAGGGGGCAGGTTCGCCTCTGCAGCAGGCCCGTATCGTCGATGGTATGTTTCTTGAGCCCGCCGTCGAGTGGTATGGAAAGGAGCGTGGCCGTTCTTGGACGGGATCCGTACGGAGCGATGGGTAGCGGGTTCGCATGAACGTACGGCCCGCATCAAGTTCGGGTAGAGGAAGGGTAGCCTCGGGGTAGCCATGGCGAAGAGAATGATTATGGAGTTTGTCCAAGGAAAGACGGCGTTGAAAACATGGAGCAAGTGTGGCGGATGAATCAGTCACCAGAACCATTCCGTTTTCCCGCGGCCAACTGATGCAGTACCCGGAAACGTGACGTGGGCGGTGAGAATCCCCCGCGGAACAACCAACCTGTCTGGGATTAGCGGATCATAGCCGCATCTTATCGTCATTAAGGTGTCTGCAGAGTCCAAGTAGTAACTTTTTCCCATGTTTATTATTCAATTACTATATACAAACGGACTTCTTCTAGCACTATCTACCTCTCCGTATCTTAGAATAAAACGACGGCCAGCTTATTGCTCCGCGCCAATTGCTAAAAGCCCGAACAACAGCTGGGTACGCTTCCAATACTCCGCAGCATTATGTTCCATGGTCATGGCAGCGTTATCCGCAGATCCAACATCGCTGCGAAGCTTTTCTAGAACGCCCCTTAGTAGATTCTGCCCAGAATCCTTCACTGCCAATGCATTCTTCAGATAGGCAGTATCATAATAGAGTTGAAGTTTTGAATGACGAGCATTTCGAGACTCGCTTACGTCGTCACCCTTTGCCCGCTCCTCATCATCACCGTTTTGACCTTCACTGGGGGTTTCCCCGCTATCAGACGCAGTATTTTCTTTGCTATTTTCGGTGTCACAAGAACTCAGAGTTTTAATACCCGAGGTGATAGCGTTTGAGAGCTCCCCTTGTAAGGTTCGTTTGAGAACTTGGACAGTTGTGACATCCCAAAGCCCGGGGCCGCAACGATCCATGGATCCTACAAGTCGACGTAGAAGCTTGAAAGTAGAGGGGGATGGTTGGATTGGAAGTTCAGGATCGCCTTCCCAAAGGCTTCGGCCTGGAACCCGAGAACCCGGTTTGGCTAGCAATTTCGACGGAGATGCCTGCGTGACCACCTCAGTAGCAAGCATTTCCTGCAATTGAGGAACAATATCTTTGGCGAACGTAAATCCACCGGCAATAAGTTGGTGGGGGAGGCCTCGCCGAACGAGCCTGATGAGTCTAAGAATAAATGCAGCCTTTCCACTATGATTCGAGTCTCCAAAGGCTTGGAAGGCATCGCCGAATGAAGATTGAAGAGCATCGAAGGCTTTCCTGACAGCAGACTCAAGTGCACCGTGTAGCAGTCGAGGGTCATCTTCGTTTAATGCCGCTGTGGTATCTAGATCAAAGTCTTCATCTTCGCCCTCCTCGATAATGTCATTCCACCGAATCTGCCGTAGTTCATCAATGGACTCTTTGGATCTTTCAATAGACGTGAGCCAAGATTGATATCCCCTTAAGATATTAGAAACCTCTTCATCACGACCAAGGAGTCTATCAGAAATGGCTGTTTTGAAGGCGTCGGCACCATTTGAGTAATCGGATACCATCAGTTCATGATCCCAAAGTGACTGAGAGACTGCGTGGTCTGTGTTGTCCCAAGTTGAGATCTTGGATGTGACATCCTGGCCAAAGTCCGCCAACGACCTAGCCTGATCAGATAAGATATCCATCAGACGATTGTTGAATATCCCTCGAATGCCTTCTAACACTTGAAGAGATGAATGTGTGATTGTTGAGGCCCAAGAGCGAAGCCAGAATTCCAAGGCTTTTTCACGAAGCGAAAGCAACTCTGCGAAGTTCGGCCAGCTTTTCAAGTTCATCTGACAACCTTGGACAAACTTTTCGAAGGCTTGCTTCGACCATTTTTTCAGCGTTTTCTCCACTTCGGACTTGGACAGCTCACTCAATTTAATCCATGGTGTGAAGTTAGTCACATCGGGTGGCACCCAACGCCCCAGAACATCAAGACTAAGGTCATCAAGATTGTGAATTTCCGGATCAGTCAAGATAGGGCGTGCTTTCAATTTGCCAAGAACATCTGATAGTCGACGGGAAAGTAAGATCTTGGATATTTGAAGTGTACTAACATATAGTCCCAGAGCCTTCAGAATGTTCCCTCCTGACGGGTCGTCAAGCCCTAGTTGGCTCTCAATGACCTCCTCTCGTACCCTATGAAAGTGACGAATAGCATCTTCGGAGGAGGAGCTCGTAGCTAGGCAGTAAGAAGCTAGGACCTCAATAATATCATCTGCTGTTGATGAAGCTGAGGCTAGGCACTTGTTGACCCTTCTCAAAAGGGTCTGCCTCAAGGAAGCTATTTGATTCCGGAGGCTTTCGAGAAACGGGGGCACCGTATTTTGCTGGGACAGTGCTTTATGCAGGAGTCGAGAAACAACCACAAGCTTAGCTCCCAGAAGAAGAGAAACACGCCTCCTCAGTAGCCGAGATATAGCCGTCTCACAACGATGAAGTAAAGCAAGCTGAGCCCCAACGGCTTGTTTGGTTGCGCCTACACCCTGATCAGCTCCCGAGCATGTGGAGGCTCAAGTACGCGGCAATATATACCTTTGTCGTGAACATCTCCTTTGATCTGACTGAAATGTGTAACTTTCTTTTCCATTAATCGTGGGTTGCATCTTCGTCCGATATCTGCCAGGGTCGCATCGACTTCCTGCATCTCGCGGTTCATCGATACGATCGTTTCGGCGGTTCCAACAAGCTCTCGATATCTCGTCCTGGATACGCGCTATGAGTTAGTCTTGGAATATGAATTAATTGGCATTTGCTGTCATACCCAACGAGAGCTCGGAGCTTCTCCTTATTGCTGGCGATGTCCCGACGGAGCTCCTGTTCCACACGGCGCACAGTAGGAATTGGATACTGGAATGCATCCTGCCATGTATTCAAGCTCTGTGGATCTGGACCGTCTAATGCCATTATGAAATATGAAACAGGTCGAAGCCGAGAGTGGCCAACAGAGCGGAATGCTGCAGCTTCGTGTTGCTACACAGGCAGTAATGACGCTTAAGGCATATGCCTGAGGCAGCACGTGGTAGGAGCATACGAGGGCATGCAATGTAATCTCTGGAACAGCCACTCCGAATATACACCGCCTACCTAAAGTAGGTCATTCTTTAACCTCTAGTACCTGACCAAAGGCGGTACGTAAAAAGCATGGACCCCGTAAGAGATTGTTCCAGAAATTCACTGCGTGGATCTGTAAATGTATTGTCATATTGGTATTGACCATACTGCAAGAGGCAAGTGATTTGACTCATCCTTTCAAATAAAACCCCGCGGAATGACTTCCCTATCTTTTTCTGCCCCCCACTTTAAAACACATTTTTGACCATATTGAAGATCACAACTACTGCAGATATAATGCCTCACTCTGACACCGAGGTGCCGCCTTCGGCGGAAGCCTCAACAGACCTGCCTCAGCGACTCCCCTTTCCTCCAGTCACTTACTCTCACATCTTGCACTGTTCGTATCATGACTGGCAACCTCGGTATGTTTTTCTACTTGTGAACCATACACTGTACTCATAAGGTTCTCCTAGCTACCGTGCGCTCACACCGAAATCGCGCCTTATCCCCTTGACTGCGCCGTTCACCTCCTACCTCCGCGCGGACGGTATCGTATTACCGCCCGAAAATGCCACGCCCACAGACGATGACAACCTAGACACGTATTCCGATGACGAGGCCGACGAACAGCCAGACCCATCGACCGAATGGGAAGAAATCCACGCCCAGATCAAGACGACAATCTCGGAGCTTGGAGGTATCATAACCCCGAAGTTGAATTGGAGCGCCCCCAAAGATGCAACCTGGATGGCCGCGACAAACGACATGCAATGCCGCACACCAAACGATATCTACCTTCTCTTGAAGAGCAGTGACTTTATCAGCCATGACCTGGAGCTTCCCTTCGATGATTGTGTCCCGGATACACCGAACTCGATGACCACTCCTGATGTTCCATACCATCTCGTGCTTCGCAAATACGTCAACTTCAACCCGTCCCTTGAGTTTCGGTGCTTTGTGCGCGATCGCGTGCTTCTCTGTATTTGTCAGCGGGATCAAAACCACTTCGACTTCCTTTTCCCTTTGCGCGAGACCCTCAGATCCCGGATTCAAGCATTCTTCGATGAGAACCTGAAGGATACATTCCCTGATCCTAGCTTTGTCTTCGATGTGTACATTCCTCCTCCACATCAGCGTGTTTGGCTCATTGACATCAATCCGTGGGCTGTGAGGACCGATCCGTTGTTGTTCAGCTGGCTTGAGATCTTGAACATGAAAGACCCAATCGGAATCCAGGAAGAGGATGACGCCGAAGAGCAGTTTGTCCGACTGTCCCTCAATGGGAACACTGCCATTGATGTAGTGGGAGCCCCTGACGGTTCTGAGTCGTCAGATACAGAGGATGAGGCCGGTGATGAAGCGGACGAGGATTCCCCTTTCTTCCCCGAATTCCGTCTCGTGAAGCGTGATGATCCGGAAGCTTATGCGTTTACCACACCACAGTACTCAGCTCACAAACTGCCAAAGGAGGTCGTCGATGCTTCAATTTCAGGCCCAGGTGGTATGAGTGAATTTTTAGGCAAATGGCAGGACATTCTAGCCAAACAGGCCCAAGAGTCGGATACGGATAGTGAAGGTGGACAGTAACAGGCTTCCCAGCTTTATTGCAACGGAGTAATCGGGGATTAGACGGCGTTTATGATCTAATGGATAAGGGAAAAGCAACGGGGAAATAACGGACACATCATTATTCCATAGAAATAAAAAAACAGGTGTCGCCTACTGGTAACCAAGTAAAGCTATTTCCAGTGTAGCTAAACATCCCATTCAGTAACTCATGGCATGTCCTTAACCTGAAAAAGTATATCTAAAAACCCCTGAGCCGTATATACAGGATTCGACAAAACATCTCAGCCATAAATATTTGAATCCACTACAGCTTATGTTTCTTCTCTCCCGAAGCCAACCGCCTGAACTCCTCCTGAGGTATACCCTTCAAGAACCTTTGCAACCCAGCAAACACCTCAAGGTAATTCTGACGGTCCAGAATCTCTCGCTCCGGCCGGCGGATCAACTCCTTAATCCCCAGGAGACTAGACTGACTCAGATGAGTTCCAAGACGATCCTCAACTTCCTCGAGGACCTTCTCCAGGAAACCATCCGAATCATCCTTCCTGCCCGACGGCGCAGAGATAACCTTGTTCACGAATCCAGTAGCCACAAGCTCCTCACAGGTAATCTTCTTACTCATGATGAGGGCCTCGTTAGCCTTGGAGATGCCGAGACGCTCGACAAGAGCGCGCGAAGAACCACCCTCGGCGACAAGACCAAGGGAGGAGAACGGGGTGAGCAGGAAGGTATGCGGCGCGGCGTAGATGAAGTCGGCCATGGCGACCAGTGCAGCGGAAAGGCCGACTACAGGACCGTTGAGAGCAGCTACCAGGATCTTGGAGTGGTGGGCCACGGTGTTCGTGATGTCGAGGTTGTTGACGACGAAGGACCGCGTGAGCTCGCGGCGGACATTGCTGCTCAGGTCGCCGGATGGGCGGGTCGAGGTAACATCTGCTCCGCTACAGGGTGTTAGATCAATTGGGTCCTGGCTTGCTTTATCAAGGACATGGTGCCTACGCTGAGAAGAATCGTCCTTTGGCGGTTAGGATGGTGATGAAGATTTCCTCGCGCTGGTCAATTTCCCGGAGACGTTCCCCGAGTAGGTAATATAGGTCTTGGTTGAGGGCATTGAGCTTCTCCGGTCTGTTGAATGTGATGATTGCAATCCGGTCTTGGTAAGTAACCTTGACGAGGTCTTCGTTTGCCATTGTGTCTATAGCTGACTGAAAGATTATATGGGGAATCGAATAGTGGACAGTGGATTAGGACTAGATTTAGTAGTATGCGTCAAGAGAATGTTCGACAAATAAGTTGACGGTCGAGTGGAGATGGCTTCTTTATCGACTTCTAATTATATATCTATTCTATGTCAGATAAGTAGTGGATATGAGGGGAAATTCCACTCGGCACGGAGGTAATCGACCAGCGACTCCCCGGATGTCGATATCCCTGCCAATTTGACGGCTATACTGCCGCTCGTAAATTGCGGGGAGACCGACGGGCCGAAGGCATGCAGCCGAGGCTTATCAGCTGGTCAAGTGATCTAGGTCAGGTGAATGGCACGTGGTAAGTTTGCCTTGTTTGCGTAGCTGATCATCGGCAAGCCGGAGGCTCTGTAATGCATATCGTATGTTCGGCCATTCGTTGGTTCATTGTTGATCTTTATACAAATCATTTGCGCAGTTTCCTTGGTATCGCCCTAAATTTTGACACTCTGTTAGAAGAAGGGGAAACGCGAGCAACGAGAATTCGGGAGTAAAAATCAAGGTTTCGCTCAGTACCTTTTTGCCTCTCACCCCTCCACTGCATCTGAACACCACGCTTCACAATGTCCAACATTCTGCAGAGATTACGAGGTGGAAACCTCGAGGTTTTCAAGGTATTTCTTTGGCCAATCCAACCATGCGCTATCCCTAGAGGTTTACTCTGACTGTTTCAGTTCGGCATGTACGTTCTTTTCCCGATTGGATGGATGTATTATTTCGGAACAAACCTCGACGACCGCTTCAGTGTCCCTGGATTCTGGCCTACTACCGAGCAATCGCATAAGATTCCCCTCGATAAGGAAGAAATTGATAAGGAACTGGCGCGAATGCGCATGGTGGATTCTATTAGGCGAGAGAAGCGCCAACGAGAGGCCCAGGCCCAGGCTGAAGCTCAAATGCAGGCTGAGGGTCAGGCACAAAACGCGGAGTAAATTTTTGAGGTTTATGGGCACGGGCTTGTGGGAACGTCCTAGGACTGCGTTGGTCGAAAGTAATTTGGGGTGGGGTCTGGGTCTATACAAAAGGGAGCGCTGCCTAGCGTGGGCTAGAGTGGCATGGGAGTCTTGATAAAGGGTTGGTGGAGTTACCATGTGGCAGTTGCACGTGTACTACTTTTTACGTTGTTCTTGTTTAACACTCTTCTCTGGGCACGTTGGGAGTTGAATTCGGTTCTAAAATGGGCATCTAGTTTTGGTTACGAGTTTTATTTCCCCTGTACATTCTTTCGTTGAGACATCATTTATCTCCACTGCTATGCAGGGCTATGTCCTAGTATCATTTGATGGTTGAAAATAATGGTTATAAGCCCGGCGTGTTGAATAATACCATGCAAACAGGCGCTTACAAAACTATTGTGATGTGGGCGATTTTGGGGCATAGAGTTATAATTTCGATAGCGATGGTATCTTTTAGGGGGGGAAGAATAAAGCTGACTTGGCTGTTAAGGGTATTTCATCGTAACAGTAATAATCAAGGCTTCGCTGCTATGAGTGTTCAGAACCCTGAAGGCCAAAAAGCAGAAAGAGCGAAGAATGAACACAAGAACTCCTAGGATGCGCCGGCCTGCTCAGGAACATATCGCTCAAACTCCGTATGAACAACATCACAACGCCAACATGGAACAGATGCGTCCAGACATCGCAGGCAGTGCTGCTAGGCTGGGGCCTCAATCCATGCTCAAGGACCAAAAATGCGTAAGAGGTGGAAAGGTAGAGATTATTCAAAGGTATGTTGATAAGGGCATTACACAAGAGATAGCGCCGATGGTATCACGCTTGAGTAACACAGACACCGGATAGCTAGAATCCGCCGCGGCCGGGACAGGAGAATGGAAGAAGGAAAGGGTCGCCCGCCATTGCCAATAGAAGAAACTTATAATTCGCGGATTGTATCGGTGGCAGCAGCAGCATTACTTTTTGCTGTCTCATACATGACCTCTAGCGTTTGGGTGCCGGTCTCGCGGAATACTGAGCTGATCGATGGCAAGGCGGAGGATATGAAGGGACGTTCACCAGCCCAGTAATAGTAGAGGTGGCCGTAGATGGATCTGATGTGGTCAGGGAGGTAGACATAGATAGCGGTGATGATCATTGAGATCAGGGTAAGAAGGAGGGAGTCTGTTTTAGTCTGTTAATGTGATTCTTTCGTTCTCCAGTGGCCTTTTCTCTGAGCATACTAAAAATGAACTTTTCGGTTGGGGTGAGCATATATACAGCAAAAGTCACCTCATACTGATATATCTTCAACCGAATCCAACGGGCGAAAGAGGCAGGGATCCAAAGTAAGAATGTCATGATCGCAATGCAATGTTTGCTGTCTGCGACGGAGGGATTGAGCGGCGAAAAAAAAAAAAAAATGCCACTTCAGAAAAGTTGAAGTTTACGAGCCGAGTGACAGAGGGCGCTTCTTGGTCGAATTTGCCCCTGAAAGTACGGACACTCCTTTTTTTCAACAAAAAGAAAAGCCGGGGGACGGGAAGTGAGGGTCAGATTGAATTGCGGAAGTAACCACGTGGTATTTTGGTGTTGCCGGTGAGAAGCAATTGTTTGGTAAGATGATGATGGTTACCAGGCATCCATAACTATAATTACCCTTATGGACTTTCCGGGAGGGCACAGCAAAAAAATGGAAAATGTAAGATTGAAGAGAAAGGGGGAAAAGAAAAAAAGAAAGAAAAAGAACAGGTGCAGGGTTTGATCGACAAAAATGTCCCTGTCGGTGTACAGAAGCTAAAATGGTCAAATAGCGAATAAAAGATTATACCATTGCGGGGGAGACAACAAAAAGGATGTTGTTGAATTGCACGTCAAGATGCGTTTAATTTTTGTTCACTAGACCTTGACGAATATGAATTTATGAACGACCTTTTTTGACTAAGAATAGCTTTGACCAACAAAAGTTTCTCATTTAGTTCGTCGATTCCGAACGGTGTTTCACATTGGGGGGAAAATCCACTGACTGAGCCACAATCCGTGCATTGGTGGCACCTGAAATTGGAGCTCCACTTCAGGGTCCAGAGCACCCATTGAATCGACTTAGTATCTTGTCTAGACTCTCGACCATCTTATGTACATTACACCACATGGAATGGATGGAGAGGGGGGTTTTTTTTTAAAAAAAAGAAAAATATATAATTAAAATTAAAAATAAATAGGAAACAAAAGGGAGAAATTGTGAATGAGTATTCCCAATAGGTCACAAATTAATTGCTCTTTCTTTTGTTTCTGAAACTCTCTGAACCTTGCTTGATTATCAACACACAGATTCTCAATTGCCTCTCTGACTGTCAGATTCAACCCCTTTGAAACCCGCTAGAGGCGTACGTCACCCTACGCTTGGCACATTTTTTAGGTAGTGATTGAGGGTCCAGCTTGACGATCCTGCACATCATTCGGGTTAATTCATCAGCAGGTTCATCAGCTATGACGATTGTAGGAGGAGCAGGGACGAATGGTACGTAGTAGTTAATGGCAGTACGTTGAGTCAATGCTATGAGAAAAGATCCCTCTTTTTTTCGCTGTCCGTGATCCATCGCCCTTTCGAGATTCGGTCCGATAATATCCCATCGTGGTATAAGAATAGCTGCCTGGGGCAGTCAAACGTACTCGTACTCGTACTCGTATCCTCAGCTGCCTCAGCTGATATCACCCTAAATCGTAATGGGACTAGTTCTTATGCGGATTTGCTGCAGTTAGAAGCCGAAACCTCGAAGTGTATGTATTGTAACATGGTAATATAACCTCTCGCAGAATGCCAAAACAGTAGCCATCATGAACCATGCTACTACTACGAACCCTTATCCCGCGTAATCTCGTCCCATATACCAAACAATCCGCCCCGCTTAGATGCTTCACAACCACCGTCTACCTTACCGATAAGCCATTACCGCCCCGGTTGAAAATCCACGATGCCGATCTGACCATATCATATCTCAAGGGCACTGGCCCTGGAGGTCAGAAGATTGTACGCATTGACTCAATGTTTCATTCAAATTGGCGTTGGCTAATCACGATCGGCAGAATAAAACCAACTCTGCCGTTCAGCTCATTCACAAACCTACCGGTCTCGTGGTGAAGTCACAGGCCACTCGCTCCCGTTCCCAGAATGAGAAGATCGCACGACAACTTCTCGCCGATAAAGTGGAGCAGCTAGAGAAAGGAGACCAGAGCCGCGCAGCGATCAAAGTTGATCGTGCTCGGAAGAAGAAGGCTAGTAAGGTGAAGAAGAGCCGCAGAAAGTATCGCGAATTGGAGAAGGGCCACGAAGGAGTGCAAGAGCAGGAGGACCATGATGGTGAAGGCCATCAGGAGATGGTCGGAGATGAGTCGTCAAAGACAGTCCCAGCGAACCAGACGCAGGACAAATGATCAGGGTCTACGGACTCATAGATATCATTGATATGTCAGATCTTTCTACTCATCGTGGGTCTACAATGTGGAAATCGATGTTCACAGTCAACAGGACGGTATTGCAAGGAATAATCTCGCATGTAGAAGGGCGAGTGACATTTTTGTATCATCTAATAACAGTTCGTAAAGGCATATTCGGTTTTTTTCATTTTGTCATTTTTTCATTTCTCTCTTTTGCTTCGAGATATCGAGACTAGTTGTCCCGGTTTGTTATACCGCCGGTACCGACTACCCTAGGGCAGGATAACAATAATTTCTCAGACACCTGCTTGACACTTGCTGCTCTTCCTCAAGCGATGTAGCTGCCGAGGACTGTCTTGGCATCGTTGCTCAGACGCTCCTGTGCAAACCCAGAAATTCGTCCGTTGTACTTCTTGTCAGCTTCCTTCAGGTATTGGCCAACCCAAGCCTTAAGGTCAGCTCCGGTCTCCGGCCATGGGTCCTTGGTCTGCGGTCGCACGGTGTTCAGAGCTGTGAACCCTACACCGAATGCCATATCTTCAACATCATGCTCTGCGATGATGTCGTCCTTGCTCGCTGGGAGGGGGGGAAGCTCAAGGAGCTTAAGCAAGGCCTCACATGTAAAGCCCCATCCCTTCTTGTACCGGTTCGCAAACGCATCGGAATTGGCAAGTGTCTTGGTGAATGACAGCACTGCAGTTTTGCGATCCAGCGGACGAGCAAGCTTCTGCGTATCAGGGAGAATTATGTTCAGATAGATCGGAGTGAACAGGCTTTATAAAGTCAGTAGGGTGAAGACATTCAAAAACGACTTTCTCAGAGTTCACGTACTCAGACTGCACTTTATCTGTGACTTGAATGAAGAAATCGGCGCTGTAGCCCTTCTCATCGTGGGCAGAAATGAAGTGGTAGAATCGGACAAATCTGCCAGTGAGATTTTCCGTTTTCGAATTCTGGAGGCGAGTAAGAATGACTTGCATGATTGAGATAAAGTACTGCTCCAGCGAGTTTCTGTGATGGTGTTAATGAACCTGAAGAAGTCGAACCCTTAATATAACGGTTAACTTACGGAGGGAAATTGGCGACAACGGACTCTAACAAGTCAAAACCATAACTTTCATTCGCCTTAGTGGAAAGCAGTTTCTGGAAGATACCCAAGACATTGGAAAGCTGCTGGTTCTCCAAGATGTATTGAGAACCGCGGGCAATGATGGACGAAAGGAGTCGCACGAGCGCAGGGATATTGCCTTTCGACTCCCACATGACAGGCATGAGGATAGGGGCAACCAAATTCTGGTAGTAATTTGGCAGCGATCCAGAAGGATTGGCTTCGAGAAGTGCCGCAAAGAGCTGGAATATGTAGGGCATGAATTCTAAGCAAATATCAGTTCTCAAGAACCAAGCGATCACCGAGTTATAGCCATCCTTACCTTGCACATCACCTTGGAGCACTCCGGCGAAGGGGGTATATAAAGATTGCTCAAGCTTATCGGGGTTCGCCGGGGCAGCAAATCTATGCTTGTCAGTAGATGCATGGTGCTAGAAGAGCTTTCGGAACCGACGTACCTGATAAAGGCACCCAGAGCTTCAAAGTGGAAGTAGTAGAATCTTGGGTTGCTCGGGTTCCTGCTGATGACCTCGGTGATGTTGATCAAATTTTGTAGAACAGAGTCTGTATGAGGTACTACGCCCTCCTTAATAACAATGAGTACCCGCATAGCACATTTCATCAAGAATTCGTTCTCCTGCACTTTCTCGGGGGCCGGATCCTTCTGAATCAACGCAAAAATGTGTTCTAACAAATCCTTGGCCAAAGGCGTGATTGTGTTGGGTGCAATGATTGGCTGACCCTGATTATCTGTAAGGTAGAGTGCCCTTTCAACAGCAATTGCTGCATAACTGTAGACAACATAGTTCGAAGAACCCAGGTGATTCACCACTAAAGGAAGCACTTCTTGCCATTGCTCTTTAGTGATGAGGCTCCTGAAAGTATACAAGTATTTGATTGCATCGACTTTGAGAATGGGATTCACACCATCCCCAGCAACTAGGTCTGCAGCAAGATGTTTCTGGAGGTAGTCTGTGATGCTGACCAACGAATTAGTCGCAGTCACTCCGTGGCTAGTGGTAGCAACGCCCTTTGCTGCAATGGCAGAGAAGAGGTAAGTTGCAGTATCCTTAGCCTTCCAGTTGGAAGCCGGATCGCTGGTGTATTGAGTAAGGTGGCCTTCGGTGTAATGCAGAACAACCTTTGTTACAGAAGTTTCGAATTTCTCGGCCAATTTCCTCAGAAAATCGGTGGCAGCACGTCGTCGTGTCTCGCTATCTGATCCTTCAAGGTCTCGTCTGATAAACTCAATGGGCTCATCCTCAAATAACTCCTCATCTGACTCACGCAGACTCACGTTGGGCAGAATGACCTTTTCAATAACTTGGCTTAAAGTGTTCTCATCTTGGAAAAAGGCAGCCTGTTCAGGCATACCCGCAATTGAAGTCAGGAACTGGAGTGCCCTGCTGACCAAAATGTCATACTTTGTTTCTTGGCCGATTGTAGCCAAGAAGCTCCAAGAACTACCCACAAACTGTTCGACATGAGGCTTGAACTCATCCATATACTTTTGTACCCAAAGTGTGAGGACTTCAAAGATTCCAGCTCGCACGAATTCTAATTGACCAGCTTCCGTGTCATCATCGGTATGAAGCAGTTGGTTGTCGTACGTGAGGTACTTGAGCAGAAGACTAGCTATCCCTGAAATTTGCTCTTCGAACATCGGAGGAAGGTCGTGGCAAGAAAGATCGTACAAAAGTTTGACCATCAAGTTCAACTGCGTGAATCCCTGGACAAGGTTGTCCTTGTTGGTCTTGTTCTCTTCAAGATACGAGTCGAGGCCCTGTAAAAGGATAAGTATTAGTAAACGCCATTAATATTTCGCATAGGTCCGCTCAAACGAACAGAAGTGCGATTTCAATAGTCATACCTCGAAGAGAGCCAAGAAAGGGTTTCCGAATTTACCCAAAACATGATTGATCTCTGTATAAAGATCATCGGATCGGAACAAAGGCCTCCATCGCTTGAAGATAGAATGGGCAACTTGTAGGACACCGTTGTTGACTGCAGGGTTTTTCGGTTGGAGTCTTGAGACGAGATCCTGCGAGTGTCAATAGAGGAAAACATGCGCTGCTTTTTTTTTTTTTTTTTTTTGCAATGAGAGCTTACATCCACTAGAGTATCCCATCGCTCCCAGAAGTCACTATCAGCGATCACGCTCACAGCTTCTCCCAACTGGGTCTGTATGCCCGCAGGAACCGAGATCATCAGGCTGATCAGTTCCTGCTTTATGGTTGTCACCTCATCGAGCTGGAGCTTATAGTTTCCATCCTCATCTGTGTAATTTCGCTTGATAAAATTCTTGAAGCAAAGTGCACTGGCGAGACGGGTATTGTAGGGATAGGAACCGGACGCCGTGATTTGAAGGAGCTGCAAGGAATAGCCCGGCTTTTGTTCTTCCTGGCGCAGAGCAAGTTCGGCTAATAAGATCAGCCATTGGGCGTTCGTGGGACATTTAACTGTATGAGAATATTCTGGGTTTACCTTGCTTATTTTGCCTTGGGTCCAAGCTTGCTTCTAGAAGCTGCGCAACAGCTCCAAGGTTGTCAGCCATATTGAAGCGGGGATATGTATGTGTAGTACCGAAGATGTAGCCAGTGAGGTAGTATAAAAGTGAAAGAGAATTAATTTTAATGTGTAAAAGAGAGGGAGATCGCAATGTGGGCAGAATCTTCAGAAACCACCTTTTTGTGAACGCTCTAGGGAAAAAAGCCGTGAGCTTGATTCCAGGACGGGCAGTTTGTTTGGCGGGTTGCTTTGCAGTTTCCAGGCGGTGAGCAACATGTCCGCGGGGTGATTCTGCCCATCAGGTGATTTCACGGATTAACCATATCCGAGCCTCCGCCAGATCATCATCATGGATGCTTGGAGGGGAAAGGTGTCTTGGCACACTTTCGTTCTGGAGATAACCTACTATCACTAATTCTGTTCGCTTCCATGTCTTTATAAGGATGTTTCTTTGACTTGACTCTGAAAGTTGTGCCTATTCCTACTTCACTCATGAAATCTGGCTTGGTATAGAATTGTGCTTATTCAATTAATTCACGGACCATTTCAACCTCCTGCTATCCGTCTTATCTGGGTCAAACTTCATGTTCCTACCAGGTCTCCTGATGTTGTGAACTTCTTCATGTGATCTGTCAATGGTACGTAAACCACCACCTTCTGTATTTAAGTGATGTCACAGTTGGAAATAGTCAGCTGGATGCTGTAAAGCGTGAGCTCCGGTCAGGTTCTTGCTCTTGCTGATTTATGGATCTTCAGGTATATAATCGGTTGACTTAGGCCTATATCCAAACTCCCGTCCGCTAGGACGTATGTCTTCTGACGATGCTTCATCACCTTCCAATTACAAACACACAGCATCTAGTTTCGCAGACGTTTTCAGATCATTAGGCGTTGCCCGTTCAAAATCGCTTTCGCCAATCCCAGGGAGAGAGAGCAGTGATACATTGTCGCAGGCGTCGGATGGACATAGGAATAGCTGGATCGCTCTTGGGCTTGAATCAATGCATCGCGGCAGTGTTGTTTCCAGCTCTTCAGACGCTTCTGGTGCGCCAGATTTCGAGACGTCTATAAGGAACCTGGCGCAGAAACAAAACCTAACTCATGCGATCGAAGAGGCAGAGCAGGTGTCAAAGTCACTTCACTGGTTTACCTCTGAGCAATCTTCAGCTCTGTGGGAGGCTGGCTCGTATTTGATTCATCATGCGACCTCTCCGGAAGCCCGGAGAAGTGGCTCGCTATTAATGGAAGCTATCGCAGCGCGCCAAGACCTATCTCCAGCAGCTAGAAAAGCGGTCTTCGAGTTGATATCATGTCCCTCTGAGTCCGACGTAGTGCCTGCACGTGTGATCTCGTTAATTTCTCTTTCCGATCATGGAAGGAA